GGTGAATATGATTGTTACAATTTTTTGACTAACTTAGTATAAGTAGTGATAATATAATAAGTGAAAAACTAAAAGCAAACAAACACAAGAACACACGATATATTTATAGTGGTTCAAATCAAAATCATATATCCACTCTTCTTTCTCGCAAAGTGTCTTCCTCACTATGACCAGAGTTCGCCTGAATTATATCTACCTAAAACTAGTAGTCTAACCTAACTCTTCACAATGACCAGAAAAAAGCTAGCCCTGTCTAGCCAAACCCTCGATTGACATGGTTTGAGTACGCCAACCCTCAATTATCTAACTTGAGTACGTTGTCAAAGTTACAAGTTTGAAACACAAAACCAACCTAAAACAATTCAAAGCACAACTAGAAACAAAATCTTGCAGCCCTTTTAACAAACTGCCATTCAAACTGATAATGATAAGGATCCGTGAAGAAGCGATGTTGAAGTCCAACGTAAAGTGCACTTCTCCGTGCTGAAATAATTATTCAATGATGAGTGCAATGAGAATAAGTTGAATGAGGCACCGAGTGTTGAATTCTCAAGTCAACCTCTCTCACAAACCCTAGAATTAGATATATTCAATTGTCTCTCTCTCTCTTCTTGTTGTTGTTCTCTTCCTCAATTCCCCTTTAAATAGACATTGATAGCATATGAAAGAGATTAAAACTTAAAATTTGCCAAAACTCATTGCAATTATCGATGGTGGACCATGATCATCGATGGTCCATTTATGATCATCGTTGGTTGACTATAGTCCATCAATTGCGCGTTGGATTTCCGCAATTGTTCACTGTAGTCCAATGCTTTTCCTTGAGATCATCAATGGTCGACTGTAGACCATCGATGCTCTGATTTCTGGTTTATGTTTCTCCGATTTTTTCCTGTAGTCCATCATTGAGTTGACTTGACTTGATTTGACCATTGATGATGTTTTATGATCATCGATGGTTCAAATGCTGAAATTAATATTTGTGTTGATTTTTACACTATTTTGAACCGCAACTTGCTCGTATCTGTGTATACCTAAAATATATTATCTCACAAACATATCAGCAGCAAATGAAAGTTTTTTATTGATCAAACAAGAGATATTGCATGGACAACGTTCTAGGCGAACAATGTTCTAACAATCTCCCCTTTTTGATAATAACAAAACTCAAAATTTAAACTATAGAATATAAACCATGGTGAGGTATATATTCAGATAAAAAAAAACTCATAGCTCATGTATTAAATGCAATGCAAAGCACCACCTATAAATATGCATACATAAAAAGGTCCAGATATTCCAGAAACTCCCCTTGAAACTAAAAAGCTCCAAAATTCAAAAAAAAAAAAATTTCTCCCCCTGAAACAAACCAAATCTTCAAAATTTTGTTCAAAATTCCAAATTTCACCTGTTCCTCCTCCTTTTTGTTGTTATCAAAAGAAAAACACACCTAAGATATACAATATATTTGAAAATCCAAGTAAAAATTATCCAAAGGTGAAAGGAAGAGAAATGCATATGGTTCACAAAAGAATTTTATAGAAAATAGAGTGAGAGATACACATATAATATCAAAACAAGTGATTCACGATAATAAGTCATATTTCACACACAAACCATGAAAATATCAATGAAAAGTTTGTAAAAATACCAAAAAAAGTAGTTATGTTAGTTCATAAAATAAATTCAGACACGTCTTTTCTAGTTTGAGATTTTTCTCTTGTTACACAACATGAATTATCTCAACCTTTAGAAAAGGTCCAAAATCTCGATCTATCCTCAACCATATAGGATTTTTAAGAGGAAGAATGATAGTATTTGGAGGGCAATTTACACCATCTCTAAATATTAAAAATATGTAGCGTAGGATGGATTTGCTTGAGATATTTCACAATCATATCCACAGAATGTGGGTCTTTGTCCATCTTTTAAGGAACACACTCAAAATTTACCATAAATTTATAGAGTGTGGGTCTTTGACTATCTTTTAACGAATACACTCTTTTTGCTTAATATTTTACAGCTTATACGTACTTTGTACATGAATAAAAATTCTGATGCTATATTCAAGTATAGATTGAGCTCAAAATTATTTGATATATCCAAGAATACTTGATGAACATATGAAAACCTTTATTCTTACTTTTACAAGACTAAACATAATAAGATAATACTAAGGCATACAAATATATGAAACAAATCACGAATCATCATGTTTAACAATTAAACATGTAAAACTATGTGTGTACATATAATATATATAAATATGAAAAATATGTGAACCAATATGATTAACTCATGCTTATATACCAATAGATAACCATATCGGAATCTTTTAGATGAAAGCATGTACATAAGCATGTTCAAGTCTTTTTTTTTAAAATAAATGAAAAAAAAAATATTAAGTTTTTTTATTTTTCATAAGAAAATAAAGAGAAAGAAAGAAAAAAATTTATGTTGTTTGCAATATATAAAAATAACCAAAAATCAAGAAAAATCAAATAAAAACCAAAAATCAAGAAAAGCCAAATAAAAAAAAATCAAGAAAAGTTAAGAAAACTAAAAATATGTACGTACAATAGGTCATGTTAGCATTCATAGAAGTATAACCTACACAAATGTGCAGAGAAAACAAATAAAAGTTAATACATGCCAGTGTATCTCATATGTAGTGAAAACAAAGAAAAGTTAGTACATGCTAGTGTATCTCATATGCAGTGAAAAGAAATAAAAGCTAGTACATGCCAGTGTATCTCATGCATTATCTGAATACACAGGTCCAGAAATAATAAGAAAAGAAATATAAAATGAAGAATGAAGAAATACCTAGACCAAGAAAATAAAAAGATAGAACAATCATAATCAGTCATCATCTCTCACCTTCTCCTCTTGTCCATATCCATGGACGGACTCGGGCACAAAAAATATGTGGATTGGTGGCGTGGGAAGTGTAGGATAAAATAGTCAAACAACTTACATCACTCAGTAATAATGGTAATCTCACGCCCTCTCACTATAATTTTAGCCTCTGAAGATCCATAAGGTCAGTTGTAGTTCATGTAGAACTCTTGAACCCAAGAAATATTTACTTTCTTTCCTCCCCTTGTCCATCATCGTACCTAGTCCAAAATTGTCCAAGATTCACACCACATTCTTGTACTTCTGCATATATCTCTCATCTAAACCTCACTCATATATGATATGCAGCTTTTGGTACTTCTCAAGAAACTCTTGAGATGAAGATTGTGAAGAGTGAGGTTTTTTCTACCAAATATCATTTTCTCTTTAATTTGATTTGATTGAAAAAAAGGGAGTATATAATGATGATGATGTTTATAGCCAAAAGAAACACCAAATCCACCAAAAAAACTAAAAATTTAGAGAATTTTAAGAGGAGAGATAAAAAGGGATAAAGATAAAATGTAAAAAAAAGGGCCCCCTTTTGAAACAGCCCATTGATGATAGATCGGTGGTATCACCATGACCATTGATGGAACCCCTTTTTTATTCTAAATACACACACACACACACACACACAACACACACGACACACACACACACTA